ATACAAAACAATCAATAACCAATATCTCTGAAAAATATTTATAAAAACATCTGTGAAACAATAATAAACCTAATTAAACAACACAATAAAAGGACAATACACCATGACTAGGGAGATATAGGTCCTTGGAAAGCAAGAATGCTTCAACATATGAAAATAATTTGATGTAATACTGCACAGAAAAAGAATGAACAAAAGAACAAAAGGTGAAATAGTAACAACAAAAATAATGAATGAAAAAAAAAACCATGATCTTCTCAATTGATGCCCAGAAATCATTTAACTTTTAAAAGTTAGCCCTCCATGATAAGCAACATACAATATAGTAGGCATAAAAAAGGCTATATATGACAACCCACTGCTAACATCATACAAAATGAAGATAAAGCTTTTCCTTTAGATTCGGGACAACTGTTCCCACTATGTCTTATAAAAACAGCACTGGAAGTCCTAGCCAGAACAAATAGGCAAGAAAAATAAAAGGTATTCAAATAAAAAAGGAAGAAAATGATGTAATATGTCAAAAAACTGAAATCTCTGTTAAAAAGAAGCTAAAACTAGTGAATTAGGAAAGTTATAAAATATGAAATCAACATAAAAATCAATCATTTAATAACAATCAAAAAGAAAATTGAGTAAACAATTCTATTTATTGTACAATAATATAAAAAAGTAAAATACTTACATAAAGACAAAATATGTACTTCTTAGTATAAATCAAAATATTGTAAATTTCTAAACCTCAACAAAAACAACCACTACAAAGGACTTGAGCCAACATTTCTCTAGAGATTTCTCTTGCCCCTCTGCAGAACTCAGTGTGTGGGTTAAGGGTAATGTAGATATATGATGTGGGCATATTAAATAGCACTTGTATTGTCCCCCTTAGAGATTGTTATCCCACAAAGCGAATGCAACAGGGCAAAGGGGAATATTAATGATTCCTCAGTGTACCTTCTATTTCAAAGAAATGAATAAAAATTGAACATACATATGAAGGAGAAAAGACATATCTTTTTTTTAAGACACATCTTTTTTATGAGATTGCTACTTAATTTTTATTATATTCCCTGGGGTGACATTGGTTCATAAGATTACAGAGGTTTCAAGTGCACATTTCTATGACAGGTGATGTGTTTATTGCATTGTGTGCCCACCACCCACAGTCATGATGTGGTACATATATGTGAGGGAATATTACTCCACCGTAAGAGAAGATGGAATACTCCCATTTGTGACATGGACAGACCTTGTGAATATCATGCTAAGTGAAATTAGTCAGACAGAATCCTATGATTTCACCGGTATGTGGGATGTAAAACTGAAAGCACCAAATAAGCAAACAAGAAAAATGACCAAAAAACCCCTCATAGGCAAAGACAAATCTTTCCTGAAGAAGAATGCCTAGTGGTATCCACAGAATTCCTCTTTCCAGGAGGTGGAAATTAATTCAGCTGCTCCTACAACTTACATCTGAGCTAAACTGACCGACTCCCTTCCAATCAATGAAGAACAAAAATGGACACACAGTAATTTCACAGTGGAGGGAGGACGTGCAACCATGCCCAACACTTGGTAACCAAGTGATCAAGGTTAACATCACCAGTGATGAGTGATGCTATCTGCATGATCCCCTGATACAAGGGGATCATGAGTGATGCTATCCCCATGATCCCCATGATGTGGGGACATGAGATGTTTTCCTAAAAGCCTATAAACCTTGAGTAATCAGAGAAAAACACCAGACAAACCAAAGGTTAGAGATATTCTGAAAAGTATGTGACCAGTGCTCCTCACACACATCAAGGTCATGAAAAACTGCAAAACACTGAGAAACTGACTCAGAGAAAAAGAAAGATGTGTCTCAAGAGACACGTTGGCAAATTAAAATGTAGTGTCCTGGACAGAATCCTGAAAGGGGAGAAAAAAAGAAAGCTGTTAGTGTTAAAACTGGCAGAATGTAAATAAGGCTTACAGTTTAATTTCCAGTATGGTGTCAATGTTGATTTCTTTGTTTTCTGAGAGGTGTTGTAGAAATGTAAGCCATTAACAACAGGGGGAACAGGTGAGGAGAATACATAAACTTTCTATATTACCTTTGCTACATTCCTGCAAATTTAATTTTATTTCAAAATAAAAAAAATACCTTAAAATTGCAACCACGGATAATTTAGTGATAGTTACATTAACTTATTTCCATGTTGAGTTAACACTACCTTTTTCTTCTCAATGTGTCCATTTTGCTCTGTTGGTGATTTCAAAAGCAATAAAACTCATTAACAGAACATTGAATAGATCCATGTCTTTGGCTTTCAAATTTCTAGTTTTCTACTAATCCTAGCTTGATAAAATTTTCTCCATAAGCCTGTCTCCTCAAATTGGAAGTTCAGAAATCCCTCTTTAAATCTGTCTCTCATCCACCAGCAAATTGGCACCAAGACCTAGTCCAGAGCAATCTACCTTCTAAAGGACGTGAAAATTGATTCATTTTTATCACGGGGACATAAAATGTTCCTTTAATGTTTGCTTCCACCTATACTGTCTTTATATATCAGCTAACATATTGTCCTGTGTTCTCTTTTATCCCTTGCTATTCTATGTTTAATAGACAGTATTTTTAATATGCTCATCTTAATACACATTTCCCTATTTTGAACAACTGCCATTTCTCCAAGAATGTAAGGTGCAATATTCACAACTTGACTCTCACTATCCATAGTAACACCTAATTTTCCCTCCAGCTTCACCTCAGGCCACTTGCATCACAACGCAGAGACACTGAAGCCTCTACTTTGAAATTTGAAGGAACATCCCACATGCTATTCCTTTTAAATTTATAAAGTAAAAAAATTAAAGATTTTATTTATTTTTAGACAGAAAACAAGGAAGAAAAACATCACTGTGGTTGCCCCTCATGTGCCCCCTACTGGGGACTTGGCCCCTAACCCAGGCATGTGCCCTGACTGGGAATCAAACTGGTGACCCTTTGGTTTGTAGGCCGGTGCTCAATCCACTGAGCCACACCAGCCAGGACTAAATTTATAAATTCTTGTTCAATTTATCACTGAGTTTATCTATTCTTCTCCCCTGTTTGTTCAGTATTTTTATAATCATGATTTGGAACTGCATTATCTAGTAGATTGCTTTTCTCCATTACACACAGTTCCTTTCCTGGAACTTTGTCCTGTTCTTTTGTTAGGAACTTATTCCTCTGTCTCCTCATTCTGGCAGTCCCTCCAAGTTCATGTTCATGAATTAGGCAAAACAGCAACCACTCTACCGTGAAGGAGTGGCCTTGTATGGGAGTTTCCCCTTTGCTGATTTAATGTGCCAGTTGTCTTAGGCAGGCCAGCTGGTACTGGAATGGGCATGGACCATGAGGCATCCCAAGGACAAGCTGCACTGGGACCACCTTGGGAGGTTTCTTGGAACTGTATCTGGAGTGGGTATGAGACATGGGGAGCCCTGTGGGCAAGCCGTGCCTGGTCTGCCTTGGCTGTGCTGACAGGGTTGCTGGGGTCATAGTTTGAGCAAACTGAGAACATGGGAAATTTGGGATGTAGGCCACAGTAGGGCCATTTCAGCAGCTGGACTTAATAGATATTTATAGAACATTCCACTGAAAATAAAAAGCAGAATACACATTCTTTTCAAGTGTACAAGGAACATTTTTCAGCATAGACCACATGTTGGGCCATGGAAAAGTGTCAGTAAATTTGAGAAGACTGAAGTAATGTCAAACATTTTCTCCAGTCACAATGGTATAAAACTATAAGTGATTTATGAAGAGAAATCTAAAAAAGACACAAACATGAAGGCTGAACAACATTCTACTAAAATAATCAATAGGTTAACAAATCAAAATACAAATCACACATTTTTAGAAAAATGAGAATGAGAACAAAACAACCTATAATCTATGACACTGCAAAGCTGTTCTGTTGATTTTTCCACTGCAATTTAATATTCTAAAAATCTACTGAGATATGACTGGATCTAATTGCCTCACACCTTACTTTTGTCAAAATTGAATGTTTATGCTCTTTCCAACTAAGAATATATGTCAATCTCCTTTTATTTAAATGCGCTGCCATGTCCATTTAGTATATCATTTCTTCATAAAGCTTCAGAAACATTTTTGTACATTTATTATGTAGAACTATTTTGTCTAGGCAGGTATCTTCTTCTTTTTTAAATTTTATTTATTGATTTTAGAGGGAGAGAGAGAAACATCAATTTGTTCCACTTTTCTATGCATTCATTGGTTGACTCTTGCATGTACCCCAACTGGGGATCAAACCCACAGCCCTGGTGTATTGGGACGGTATTCTAACCAATTGAGCTACCCAGCCAGAACCGGCAGGTATTTTCAATAATTATTTTTTGTCCCCTAAATTTCACTATCCCAACATTTAATGGACAATATTTTAATGTGTTCATCTTTCCTGATACCCATTTTCTCATTTTGAATGACCATTACTTCTCCAAGAATGTAAGGCACCATATTCATACTTGACTGTCATTGTCCCTAATAACAAACACCTAATGTTCCCTCCAGCTTCAACTAAACCACTTGCATGAAAATACAGGGACACTGAAGCCTCTACCCTGAGATTCTTGAGACACATCCCACATGAAGTTCCTTTTCAAGGCACTGTTCTTACTATCACATGGACAGTAAATCTTGAGGACATTGATGTTCTACACTAAAGATTACGCACGGAAAACCATTTCCCTGTATTATTTCAGGACTGTTTTATTGTTCATCGGACTCTGAACTTGACTACAACCACTATTAAAATATAATCACAAGTGCTTACATAATAATTACTAGAATGTAATAAAACAAGATTTCATTTATTATTATTAATTATTTATTGTTGCAACAGAATCTCTGTCTTAATCAAAACTCCATAGGCAATGAGACTGACTCCAATTTTACTCAAGCTTCCTTGCATGAAGAGTACATAAGTGACTGAACACAGTGAGAAGCAAACAATTTATGCTATTCTGAAGGGATGTGGCAACAGTTTGAGTTTCCCAGCGTACACAAGGAAGAATCTGGATACACGCTGGTCACAACTCAAGAGGACAAAGGGGCTGGCAGTGGGAAACATGCATTGATTAGGGTAGAGATGTTCATCAGCCACCAAGTGGTCTTCTGAAAAAGAACAAAATACATGTGAATAAAGAGGGAGACGGTATAAAAAGATACAAAAGTGGTCACCAGGACAAGGATGCTCTGGATAGCTCTGATCTCAGCAGAGGATCTGGGGGACACTTTGGTCCCATGAATGTGTTGGACACGCTGCTTGTGTCTGCACAGAATGGAAACCATGGTCCCACTGGCCCAAGCCATGAGTCCTAAACACAAAATATCATGGATGGATATGAATATTATATATAGTAAGTCTGCATCTTTAGCATAAAGTTCAAAAACACAGTATCCGAGGTCCACAATTTTTTAGAGGCTTTCATTGTTATACTTATCGGTTATGTGCTGAGCAACCCTAATATGTAGTAATATGTTCAGGATCCAACAGAACATATTGGAGGGGCCAATGTATTTGGCAGCTTTTGCTTTAAGCTCTGCCCACCTGGGGTTCATGGGGCTGATGGTGATGGCCTGGAAGATACTCAGGAGGCAGGTGTTGCCCGTGGTCATATCCTTGGCTAGTCTCTGAACATAAATAACAAGTTTGCAACCAAAGTCACTGAGAAAATGTGTCAACCCCAATGCTGCCATTGTCCCTGGAACTCCTCTTGAGAGAATGGCTAAGGAGTTGGTTAAACTCAGATGACTGAGAATCAAATCTGTGGACTTTGACCTGTATCCACTGAGGTAAAGGGACATGTGATGACATAAGAGTGAGAAATTCCCCAGGATTCCAATGAGCATCTGACACAGGAAGATCATTGTGTATTTCAGATCCGGTGAGGCCATTCTTTTATTTCCCAGAGTTCCGTGTGCACATTTATAAAGAGAGGATTCTGCATAAAAAACGAGACTGTATGTGTACAAGAGTCTGAGTTAAGACCTAATAGTATTTTCCTTTTCCAGACAAGGAGAATTTGACTAAAAAGAGGTTATATGACGCATTTAAATATTGGGATAGTCCAGCGTTGAATCTAGGTAGCCTGGTTGCAATAACATCAGTGTTTACCACTGTGCTATACTCTCCTAGCTAACTGGTTTTGTCTTTGAAAAAGTCCAGATACTCGCATACATTGTCATATTTGAGATTCATTTCATGTTTGATAATGTCCTTTTTTCATTTCTGTTAAAATATTTGTTCTGTTGCTCAAGATCACTTGTGAATGAAAAAGAAGCAGTCTTAATAAAATGTAGATGCAGCCCTGGTCAGTGTGGTTCAGTTGGTTGGAGTTTCATTATGTAAACTTAAAGGTTGTGGGTTTGAGTCCTGATCAGAGCACATACCTAGGTTGCCAGTTCAGTCCCTGGTCTGGGTGTGTGAGAGAGGCAAATGATCAGTGTTTCTCCATATCAATGTCTTTCTCTCTCTCTCCTGCCTTCCTCTCTCAGGAATCTAAAAAAAAGTAGATGCACCGAATATTTTGATGAACAAATTGAGTTTCCTGATGTGGACCCACGTTAGTAGAGTCTCAGAAATAATCACATGGCACCCACTACAGAAATTATTGTATAAATTTCATTTTTCCCTAAAATGTGGGATTTGTAATTTAAATAAGAGGTATAAAATAAAGGTAGGACCAATTATTTCTCATTAGAGAGCATGCAATTATTTGTGGGTTTTTTGTTGTTTTTTTTAAAGATTTTATTTATTTACTTTTAGAGAGAGAAGGGAAGGAGGAAGAGAGAGAGAAAGAGAGAGAGAGAGAAACATCAATGTGCGGTCGCCGGGGGTCGTGGCCTGCAACCCAGGCACACGCCCTGACTGGGAATCGAACCTGCGATGCCTGGTTCACAGCCCGCGCTTAATCCACTGAGCCACGCCAGCCAGGGCAGCAATTATTTGTTTATTATTTCGAAAGAATAATTGAAATCAAGTAATATGTGAATTGAGAAATGAAAAAAATCTAAACAAGTATGCACTTTGGTATTTCAAAGCCTAAAATCTTGGGCATCAAATCAGTAGGAAGAGAAGAAACAAGAGGATGAGCCTGAATATGATGTTAGTATATTGAAAACCAGATGAAATATCAGAAGATACATTTGAACCTAAAAACTGCTGAAGCTCTTAGTCTGCTATCCAAACTCTTCCCATGTGAAGTTACCTTTTCCTGAAAGTATTTTTTCAAACGTCACAAAAAAAGAAAAAATTTGTCCCACCTCGATCAATAGATTCTAATACATTCAGGAAAGACATAATTACTAAATCTATTAGACATACCAAGCCTAAATAAGAGAAAAATTAATATAGTGTATAGTTCAGCAAATGACACTCACATGATTTGCACTGAGATATAAATTTTGCAATTATGTACATCAAGCTTACACATGCACAGAACTTGAGACAACTATACTAATCATATAAATTTCTCTGTGATTTGATAAAACACACTAATTTCTGAATTACAGTTTTAATGGTCATAAAAGTCAGAGTTCATTACTTTGTGGGACAACCTCTAAAAATTGCCATTAAGGAGGGAACATTAAAGAACACTGGGAACAGTTAGAGAGGGGTGCAGGGTCTCCAACCTCTAGTCTCTCTCTATCATCTCAGCCCATGTCTCAGGAATTATGGCTCCTTCCTGTGTAGCTCTGATACTCAACCAATTTCTACACACAGAAACACCACTTTTCCTGACAGGAGGATCAACCCAGGCACAGATCCTGATACAGCTCATTCCCTTACACATTGCATCGCTCAGACAGACACAGACAACACTCACCCCAGCCTTCTCTGCCGCCAGCAGGGGAAGCTCAGGGTGACGGTCAGGACATCTGGCTTGTGTAGTGGGGAAGGCAGCCCACGTTGTGATAAGGGTCTGTGACTCTGTGACCTCACCTCCCCAGAGAAATGCAATTACCACTTCACCAGTACCTCTGGTGACACTGGACAATGGGCCAGTTGAGACTATTTTTAAAAACTTCATGCCAGTTTCCAATTCCCAGAAACAATTATAAGTTTCTAGCGAGGCTCTGCAAAGAGTCAGGGCTCCTGTGTGGGAGCAACTTCTTTTCCGTGACCCATGGAGGTAGACAGGGTCCCCAGTGGCAGAAGCAGGAAATGTTCAGATCTGACAGGGGAGGGGATGGCAGTAAGTGACTCTTTTACCACTGGACTCTGTGCTTCCCTAAAAAGTTCACTAGTCCTCCAAATATTTATCTATTGATGTCTGGTCTAAGAACTAGAAAACAAGAAAGGTTATGAGCAGAGAGATGGAAGGATTCAAGGACCTAAGCTGGATTCCTCAAGAAAGAAGAGTGAAATTTAAAAAATGAGACATACTTTAGAATCCATGTAAGCTTTGTGTGACTTAGTGCACTTAATTTGAAAGTCTGTTTGGCATGGCTATCTCTGGGAATATATATTTTATCAATATTCCCCAAGAACAGGTACAACTTCTGAGCTGAGCAACTTCCATATTGTTCATCAAAACAGCACTTGATGATATGATTTATCAATAGCATCTACTACTCTCCTTTTTTAAAAGAGAGAGAGACAGAGTGGAGAGAGGGAGAGAGAGAGAGAGAGAGAGAGAGAGAGAGAGAGAGAGAGAGAGAGAAACATTGGTCAGTTTCCTCTCATAAGGACTCTAACTGGGACCAAACCTGCAATCTGGGTATGTGCCCTGACTAGAAATTGAAACTGAACTTTCAGGTTTACAGGATAACAATCCAATCAACTACTCCCTTTTTTAAAAACTACATTTTTAGGATTTAATTTATTTATTTTTAGAGAGAGAGGAAGGGGGAGAAAGAGACAGAGAGAAACATCAATGTGTGGTTGCCTCTGCACCCCCTACTGGGGATCTGGCCCACAACCCAGGCACATCTCCTGACTGGGAATCGAACCCATGATATTTTTGTTTACAGGCCATCACTTAATCCATTGAGCCACACCAGCCAGGGCAGCATCTACTACTCTTAAACAGCAAATAAATCAATGCTACTTAGGCCATCCAAACGTATCAAAGAATAACCTATCTAATAATTTTCTAAAATCTTAAAAAGATTACTACTAATGTTTCACAAATCTCATGTATGCCTAGTATCAGAAACCATGTAATGTAATATTTGCAAATATTGCCACCCATAAACTATTACCTTATGATCAAGGGCAGCCTATAGCCATTTACTTAGATAAGGAGACCTAGTATCATGAAGCTGTTAGGTCTCCCTGAATTGATCTGTACATTTGATTAACTCCCAATCAAAATCCTAGAATACTACTGTTAAATTACTATTAAATTAGAAGAAAAGATCAGGACTGACATTACCCAACTTCGAGATAATATAAATCTACATAAATTAATACCTCATGATACTGGGAAAGAATATAGACAAATAGGTCATTGAAAAAAAAACAGAGAGCCCAGAAAAAGTCTCACAAAAATATAGTCAATGGCTCTTTCACAAAGGAGCAAAGGCAAGTCAATGGAGAATCTGTGGCACTGGAACAAGTGGACATGTACATGAAAGGATAAACAAAATCTAGATGCAGACCTCACATCCTTCACAAAACTTAGCTGAAAGTGGATCATAGACTGCCATGTAGAAGATAAAACTAAAACACTCCTAGAAGCTAACATAGGAGAAAATGTAGATGACCTTCGGTTCTGTGATAACATTTCAGATATTAATACAACACCAAAGATATGATCCATGAAGAAAATAATTGCACACTGAAGCCTATTAAAATTAGATGCTTATCCTCTATAAAAGACACCATCAAAAATGAGAAGACAAGCCACAGATTGGGAAACTACATTTGCAAAAATATATCTGATTCAAGGGCTGTCATCAAGTATATGGAGAAAATGTGAAATTCAACAAGAAAACAATCCAATTTTAAAAATGGACAGAATATCTGTGTAGACACCTCACCAAAGAAGACATTTCCATAGAATATAAGCATGTGAAGAGTTGCTCACCAGCAGCCATCACTAGAGAACTGACCACTGAAACAATGCAACAGCCCTCCATATCTATCAGAGTGCACATCATCCAAAACAGAGATGCCACCCAATCGTCCTGTGTAGGTGGAGCAACAGCAGCTGTTCAGCACTACTGGGAATGCAAACTGGGACAGTCACTATGCAAGAGAGAAGAAGATTTTTTTTTAACACAATTAAATATCCTTTATATGATCCAGAAATCTCACTGCTGGCTATTTACCCAAATGAGTTGGACATTTACACCCATACACGATCCTGCACACAGCTGTTCATGGCAGCTTTATTCACAGCCGCCAACACTTGGAAACAACCGAGATGCTTCTCAACAGGGAAAGGATGAATCACTCTGGCACATCCAAGCAGTGTGATTCTATTCAGTGCTAAAAGGAAATGAGCTATCCAGCCTTAAAAATAAACAAAAGAAACTTCAATGAATATTACTAAGCAAATAAAGCCAGTCTGAAAAAGCTGCATACAGTATGATCCCAACAACATAACATTCTGGAAAAGGCAAAGTTCTAGAGAAAATAAAGATTGGTTTTGCTAGTGTTAGGAAGAGGAACAGGGGGAGAGGTAAATACATATGCACATGTTCTTTTCAGGCTACTAAAATAATTCTGTATACTGTAACAGTGGATACATGTCATTATACATTTGTCAAAACTGAAAAAAAAGTCACACAAAGAGTGAAATGTAATGTAAACTACAAACTTGGTCAATAATGTAGTGTCAATATTGGTTCATTGCAATATGTGGACCACTCCAGTGCAGGTTGTCGATCACAGGGGGGTTGCCATAATTATGCTGTGACATTCAAAGTGATCTAAAAATAAAATTATT